GTCGGATAAAAAGTGTTGTCTTTCTTCTGTGGGTATTTCGATGAAAATATGACTTCACATGACTTGTTCTTAAAGCACCTGAGAATTGATATAAATTACGAAAAAATGCAGAACAAGATTGCTTTAATATACATGTCCTAAAAACATTCCTCCTTAGTTTTGTGTAGCCGGGAGCCGCTAAGATTTACGGCATTACAGTGAATCACAACAACGCTGTGATTATAAGCAAACCCGAAGACGCCATCTTGACTGGTGGGAGACCTCAGACGCGCTACCACATTAGCTCCCTGCCAGTGGCCACACGCCTGTCCGTCGTCAAGTAGCTACTGTTGACAGCGCACTTCAGCGTGTACACGGGTTGAGAGTGGGTCACAGGGTCGGACCCGACCTTGGTCGCATTTCTCCAGCCCACTTAAGAGGAACACATTGGCCACTTAAGTCTACAAAGCCACATTGCTCTTCACAAGAGGAATGTCATATACTCCATCTAATGCTTGGTCTGCGCAAGCAAGTTTATTTTTGAAAAGTTACAAATCATCAGTCCACAAGCAAACTGTCTTTTAGGTCACAGAATATATAGATTTATACAATATTGTGGACTGTAGTCAAGTGGGACCTAGTTGAACATGTCGCTTGAGAAAAGTTGGCTGACTCCAAGACGGCACAGCGTGACGGCGGTTAGCTCGTAAGTTTCGGTTTGACACTTGCCTCCGGCCTCCATATGTTATTCTCTTACAAGGTTAAACAGTTTTTGTCACCAGGCCGAAACGTCAAAATTCACCATGCCGCCACAGCAACCGCATTTGATGAAATAAAATGCTTTTGATAACTTTTCATCTTACATATCATTAGTTGAAACAACCAAAGTTTTATGTCAATTGAATAAAATCTTAAGGAGGAGTTTGGTCAAGTATGACCTCTACAGAAGGCCTAAAATAAGGCAATATTTGAAAGTAAATTAAAATTGGTGGACTGTTGGATTTAGGATATGGCTCCAACTGACTTTTTTTTTTGTATGACTAGAGTTGTCAATTTTAGCTATTTTCGGGGGGCTACAGAGCCATATTTTCCTTTTAAAAATAGGTTAAGATGTTAAAAATGAAGCCAAAAATGTATAGATTTTTTGTCCCCCATATGCCACTGCATATTCACTGAAGCAAAACGGCAAACTTTGTGCATGCTTGATTCCTAAAACATGCTGTCTGCACCAGTTAGCCAGCATGGGGCTCAAGCGCAACCCCACACCACCCGGGGACAAATTGTGCTTCATGTACATTTTCCACCGGTTGTCAATGCATTTGGTTTGCCTGTCTTTTTTTTTTTTTAGAATTAAAAGGAAGATTCATACGAGAAGAGCTGCGGGTGCCAGAAAAAAAAAAAAAAAAAACAGTAAGGAAAATTCCTTTGTGACCAATTTGACATTCTAATGTCTCGTAAAGCATGAATAGAATAATGCCAACTGACAGAACATTACTGACTTCATATTCTGCTCGTACGCGTTCGGTTTTCCATCGGGTCGCAAAGTATCTGGTGTCACGTTGGAATGAATTTCATGAAGCTCACAAAGAGCTTGGCTGGGATGTTATTGATCCACCGGTTGAGCCCGTGGAACCCAGCAAATAGTCAGTATGTGCACGTAATGTGTGCACGGTTGTGGCTGTTTCTCCACCTGTTGCGCTGGGCCTCATGGTGACGAGATCTGTGCATCATGTTCACTTAGCCTTTGTTTTTGCCATGAAATAACGCACCATGCAGAGAGCAAAAGCAGCATCTGCAAAGCTGTCCTATGCAGTGAAATTTAGAAGAGCTGTAAAAAAGCTACTAAACAGTTCAAGATTTACCTGAAAAGAAAAAGCAGGATTGTTTGTGCATCAAGAATTTGGGGATGGCTACAACTGTGATTGCAATACTATGCCACATCACAGGGGGGCGCTTTAATAGAAGCAGTTGGAAGTTGTTCCTAAATTCATCGAAGAAGAATACAACGGATTTTTTTTTCTTTTGTACTGCGAATACGTGAGATGATTTTGTGGATTTTGAAGTTGTTTCGTTTGCCAACAAATACGTCCAATTTCACAGACAAAAAGTAAGAGCGTTACAGGTTGCTGTTAGCTTTTCAGAGATGCCGCATAAAACTAGCGAGTGTTTTTCAATAATGGTTAAAAAAATATTAAAGAAGAATAAAATACAGCAGCCGGCTTTCGGGCAATTTCATGAAAGGGGCACGGCAGCCACATGGGGAGAGGCGGGGATTTCATGAACCAGGCTTCTTACTTTCTGGTTAGAAAATAGTCCCTAAAATGACAAAATGAAGAAATGAGATCGCCATTGCACCAAAGTTAACATTTAATCGTACCTGTGCCAATAGTTAACTGTGGAAAGCTTTACATAGCATGGTACAGATCCTTTAAAGCGTTATAATACAGCAACCAGTGTTGCCGCAATTACCATAAAAGTAATTTAGTGAGCTAATTACTTGTTTTCAAAAGTTACTTTCTGAATTAATTGATTTTAAAAGTAACAAAGTTAGATTATAAATGTGTTTTTAGCTCAATTCAGTAGTTTTGCCACTTAATTCCATCTTGAAAACGAGCATTTCACTGTCAACTACTACGTGGGTTAAGGTTGTTAGGTTGTTTTTAAAAAAAGTGAGTCTTTATGCTTTCTGTAAAGTAAATTTCAGCTGAGAGTGGCAAGGGAACCATTCTGCATGTTAATATTCACAAAAAGAGTGGTTGCTTGAGACAGTGGGCTAATGATAGCAATGGGACGGCTGCTGCTTCAATTTGAAGGAAAAAAATCCTTGGGATTAAGGACCAGAAAAGATCAACCCCTGTCAATACTCTGTTATTATACGGGAGTATTGATATGAAATCAAAGCTCCTTAAAAAACCCTGGCTGAGTAAACGTCCCTGGCCATGGCATGAGGAAATGCGGTCATGAAAAGAACTGACAGACTCCGGTGATGGCAGGAGAAAAAGGAAGCCGTTGCTTGTCGGGAGCTGCAGGAAGGTGACGGCAGGCGTACACAAGATGGAGCAGACGAAGAACATCTTTAAAGTTGTATCATGGAACCATCGAATGCCAGCCTCTCAGGCACGACGGGGGCTAATTCAAACCATCTTTATTAGAAACCACAGGAGCGTAAATAATTGAGAGAAATTGCCAATGTTTTTTTTTTGTTTGTTTTTTGGGGAAAGCTCCAGCAAATAACTCGACATCTTCCCTGTTCTTTTTGGTCTCATCCTAAAGAAGACGGAATCTCGTGGCACACAAACGAAAGCAAGGCCGAGACACTGGTTTTGGCGCGCCTGCACGCCCGGCATGTCTTGCATGTGGCCGCCAGGAATGCGGGAATCCTGGCAGCCTGGGTGGAAACGTTAAGCATCAAACGACGCCGTCGCCTCCAAAGCTTTGCGTCCGGGCGGCTGGCGCATAAGCAAACTATTTAGCTCTCAAGTCTGTGATGGTTCAATGGGTCACAGAGGAGATCATTAATGCAGAAACAAACCGCATAAACAAAACAAATAACTCAAAAGCTGCCTCACAGTTGTTTAACTTACAGCAGAGACAACGTTTGCAAAAAGCGCTGATTTTTGTTTTCCCCATTTGTGTGTGTGTGTGTGTGTGTGTGTGTGTGTGTGTGTGTGTGTGTGTGTGTGTGTGTGTGTGTGTGTGTGTGTGTGGTGGGGGGGGTTTGAATGTCATTATATTTGTCCTATTTTGTAATGTGGTAATGTGTAAAAAAATGTTGAACAAGAATTTAAAAAGGACTAATATTGGCCGATTTTGTTTTATGCTGTTTTTTTTTTTTTTGTGTGTGTTCACAGCTTGTAACTATTCCATGTTTGTGGTTTATTTTCAGCGAACCACATTTATTTCATTTTTTTAAGAAAACAAGGATCCTAGCTCAAAAACTTGACGTGATAGAGAAAAACTGAGATCAGTTTTGGATTCTGCACCCCAAAAAAGGTTCCAAACAGCTGTCACACCCAATTCAACAAAAATTGTGTTCCCCATTGTTAATGATTCCGTTGGTCTGTAAAATGTCAGAAAATATGCAAAAATGTTGATTAATGATTTACAAAGTAAAAGACGATGTTTACAAAAGTCAAATTTGAACTACAAACAAAGATCTTAAAAGTTAAGTTGTTTTCATAGAGGACAACAAAAATCTGAGAATATTTCCCGTTGAGAGACTGAAATTTTGCAAGTTTGGACAATTTCAAGTTAGACGGTGTCTCAAAACAATTAACCGATTAAGTGTTTCAACTCTGAAGTCAAGATGTCACTGTTTTGTGTCAATGACTTCAGCCCTCGGGTAGCAGACTGAGTCCCACAAAACAGATTATCGTGATAATTTAAATCAAGGTCATCAAGTTATGACATTTTCGTCCCGTTTCATCTCTTAACATTGAGAGAAATCATCAATCCTTGATTGAAGACATTTTATCATAAGACCATCTTGAGTTAAGACTGATCACATGACACAATATGCGTGCATTGTCATGTTCCGTATTGCATTGATTAAAAAGCAAAAGACAAAAACTTGACTCTCTAATCGGTCTATAAATGAAGTGCAACACCTCTCTAAACACCCACTGCGCTCCTTCTTTGGTTGGTTCCCGGCTCATGGATTCAACTTTGACCTCAGAGTGAGAAACCCAAACAGTGGTGCAGAGCAACATGTGCATTTGTCATGGGAATTGAACAAACCTACGCACATTCACAGTAAGCAGAGAGTGACCACACACACACACACACACACACACACACACACACACACACACACACACACACACAAATGGGGAAAACAAAAATCAGCGCTTTTTGCAAACGTTGTCTCTGCTGTAAGTTAAACAACTGTGAGGCAGCTTTTGAGTTATTTGTTTTGTTTATGCGGTTTGTTTCTGCATTAATGATCTCCTCTGTGACCCATTGAACCATCACAGACACTTTGACACTTGGCAAACGATGCAACTGCGGCCGAGGTGACTCACGCTGTTGTCACTGGATCCCGACACCGGATAGACGGTCCAGCCGAGCTCGGCTGTAGCTGTGGTGGAGTCCATGAGCGTCTCTGCGGAAAGACAGACAGGCAGAGGTCAGGATGAGACGGATTAACGGCGACCGCCAGATTGCTAGCTATCAGTGGCGCAATTAAAAGCATCCTGGGTCAGCCTCAGTTTCTACACAAACACACTCACAACACACTCACGGATTGATTGGATAGCAGAAAAACAAATGCAAAAGCCTAGATCTGTGACAAGAAGTTGAAAAAAACACGTGGAAACTCTTATGTCACTTTAGAAAAGTATTTTGGTCCGGTTCACATTAAACACTGTCCGTTTTGCAAGTGAACTGAATTCTGTGAACACATCCATGTGTGTGACGATTGGTGCTGCCGTTGGACAGAAAGGCGATGGTGGAATACAGAGCGCAGACTCACAAATGGAGGGAAACATGCAAGTCCTACGTGTTGCATTCCTCCGCTGCTTATTTGTGCCATTATTAGAGCTGCCAAATTATTTTGAGTATCAAAAGCAGCTCATTCAATGCAGGCTTAGCGACGCTCTGTTTCTCATTTGGGAACAGCGTCAGTGAATGCGTGCAGTAAGCCCTTAAGGGACGATGCGCTCTGCATGCCCCGACCTACAATATGCTGGCTACGGAGGAGAGATTTATCTCATGATTCTTCACGCAAATATGTTTGCGATTTTCACACGTTTTTCAGATCCGCAAACATCTGCACGATTCCTATGTGTTAATCTTGCGTGAGCATTTCTAATGTTCAAAGGTTTTCGACACAAAAGTGACAGAAAAAATATTCCCTTGGAAACCATTATTTGACAAAGTTCAAAAGGGACATTACTCGACAAGGTTACAAGAACTTCCCAGTAAAATGGGAAAATATTTTACTTCATTTTAGAAGGCAGAGAAAAGATGCACATATTTAATTATCAATTTGATATTAATTCTAGCTAAATTCTATTTCTGCAAATTCACATACATAATAAGAAAACCAAACTCTACACACTTTCATAATGATGCTCTACCTTAAAAAAAAAAAAAAAGCTTGAGTTTTGTTGTTTTTCACAATATACGCCAAAAAAATTACCTATAAAAGCTTTGAACAGCCGAACATTTGGATACAGCCGAATATTTGGATGCCTCTGTTCTACATAAAAGTCATTTTCCCCACTGATGTGGCAACATATTCACATATTTTCCTCTTAAAATAATAGTTGAGAAAAAACGATGACATTAACGCCGATGTAACCCTCACTGAAAAGTGATCTATTCCACACAAATGCCAATCATAGCAGCTTTGAATCATCTCAGACAGATGGGCAGTCCCGTCAGACGTTTGACTTTGGTGGGGGTTGGGGAGGAGAAGGAAAGAAAAAAAAAAAAACAAGCTGGTGAAACCAATCGGAGGCCAGCGGATTATGTGGTGAAAAGAAACACCTCCAGTAATTGGGGTCAAAGAGAACGTGCGTCCTGTCTGTCATGAGGTCCTCCGTGGCCGGCATTCCGCCCGCTTGACCCGGCTGTCTGTCATCTGCCGCTTGAACGATTCATGTTGTCACCTTCAGCAAGTGACCCCCAACCCCACCCCCCGCCTTGAACCTCGGCTTCGCGGCCTCTTTGCTGTTCCCCGCTTGCAAACGCCTCTCCGGCTCCTTAATGAATGTGGCCTCCTGATTAGGCTTGCTGTGACCCCAAAATGCCAAAGAGGGATTATGAGACACTTTCGCACAAGTCAAAGATGGCAAAAGTCTTGTACAAGCGAGTTGGAGCTGTTCATATTCCTATTTGCGTTTGCCATATTCATGAAAATGATTATTTATCGACAGTCAGTAGTCTATCCTCATCTATCTATGTCATCGATGATCTGTTTGCTCCGTTTGCAGTGTTAGCACCACGTAAAAGCCGCACAATCCTTCTCCTTCAAACTTGCTTTTTGTAAACGCGGGGCTCAACAAGTAGCCGCCACCTAATTCAGCCCTCAGTCATCTTGGAAATAAAAGCGAAAATTGTGTCTGTCGGGGTGCCCGCTGCGTACGCCTCATGCAGATATCTGATCTCTAAATTGACAAGTGTAACTCAGTGGCTTGGTGATGATGAAGTGCTGCCTCCGTGGGGGGAAAAAATCCACTTGCGCTTCACTTGCAGGCTGGATATGAAGGCGGTAATATCTCCTGCTCTGAGTGCTGCTGGGAGGGAGCCCAGGAGGAAAAGCTTTCAATAGCAGAAGTGATTGCTAAAACATAGACAGCAAGAAGTGCATAATATTTCATCTCCCTCGGGGTATTTTTGACAAAACCATGTCATAGAGATGGCTTTGAGACAAGTGGCAACTGCTTTAAATTGGGAAAATAATACATAGACTCCTTTAAGTGAGGAACAACAAATCTGTGTCCATTTTCCAAACCTCTTGTTGATCGATAAGTTTTTCTCTCATCCGACTGAGACAACTTTAAACGAACAGGCTCAGCCCGCCGCGCTCCACTCAAGGCTCCTCCGCTGACTTCTAACAGCCCAGCCACAATCGCGACGAGCAGAATGGGACAATTCAGAATTTTTCACAAGTTGGAAATCCTATAATTAGACAGACAAAACAGCAAGAGAGCAGCCATTGACGGCCTTTTGCTAGTGATGCCGAGCCAGGCAGGCAGTGCGGATGTTAGGCTGCAAAATGGTAATCATCCCCTATAACCGTGAGATTAATTAGCGGAGCAGCACTGCGGATAATGAACCCCCTCTGCGGCGGTTTAGGGAGACGGAGTGATGGTGGGAAAGATTTCCCTGAGATTATTAGCACACAGATGACACAAATTTATCTATTCTTCTTTTTTGTCCCAATTTTGACCATCGTTGACTAAACTGTCCCATCAATTTCAAAGCACCGCTGATTCCTACACGCAATGCAGGTAGGCCTGGTAAACCTCCGCAAATAGCAGTGATGCGTTCGATCGGTTTTCGACGTGACCCACCTGTAATACAAAGTAGGAAAATAAACAATGCAGTTTGGCCTCCTTCTTGTGGATGTTGTAATGTGCTTTTTTTTTTTGTAAGTAATTACAAATGTCATTGGCATTTTTATAGCAATAATTGAGACTGTTCAAACTGTTATTAATGTTGCGCTTTTCTGCATGGTCCATTTTCTACAAAGAAGACCGACTGTTGATACAATTTTGTACAGACAAAGGGTTTAACCTGATATGTGTTACTTCATTAATTTTTTTATGATTGCATGTATTATTTTGTTTTGGAGTGTTTTGTTTATTGGAGAACTTACTGCTAGCAGTGTGCAGGGTTTTATTTTCATTTCAAGTGTCATAAAACCTAGTCCAGAATTTGGGAAGTTTTCTATTTTGCATTTGGTTCCCTTCCTGTACACAACATGACCTTCAAACCAAGCTGTGCAGTGAACTACGGTTTCTGGTGCACCGTTTCACCACTAAGTAGTACACTTTAGCGGCGAACCTGAGTCATTGCGTCTTGGACTCCGACTTGGAGTCACAGTTTTGATGACGTACGCTGACAAAAAAAAAAAAAAAAAATAGAAGACCTGAGATCTAACTTGGATTTGACTGTTAAAGACTCTGTGCTTGACTTGAGATGCATGCATAAAGGTTCGACAAATGGACCCCGAATATCATTTGACCTTTTCAGTCTTCAGTCAGATACTGCAGGTGAGACTACATTAATAAGATAACTGACTTGAATTGAGTCTTCACTTGACTTAAGATAATCAGTGACTTGAACCAAGACAAAACGGCCCGAAGACCAGAGACGGCACTTTAGTTCTTATTCGTGCGAAAAAAAAAAAACTGAAGAGCTTGTGCCACACCCCTAAAAGTAAAGCCAGATAAACAGACGTCTGTTACTTGGACAACAGAAAATTCTCTGTTGGGTACAACATCATGAACTGAAAGAAGCCAAAGGTCCCTGTTTATTTTTGGCCCATGATCAGGGTTAGCTGCTCTACACAGTGCAGAGGCAAGTGTAAACGTGGCAAAACTGCTGCACCACCACATCTTCCCCAACCTCCTGTCTTCTACACCCCAGTATTGGCTGCCAGCTCATGGCCCCCCGTGGAGCCCAGCAGCAAGTCAGTCCTGTCAACTTCGGCCTCCGTCTCAGCTCTCCAGCTGTGGTAGAGCATGTTGGCCTTTCATCGAGAGCAGGACTTGGATGCTCAGAGGCTTAAAGGGGATGTATTGTGTTTTCTTTTCCTACAATGTGAAACATCTTTCATCCAAACAGAACAAGGATCAAGAATTATAGAACCATTTTAAACAATTGTCTCTGGAAGGTATGCAGATGGATGGATGGACAGATTTCACTTGTCAGTTAGTCTACAGGGGGCATGCAGCAGATATCACCAAAAACTAAGACCAATGCGACTTCTATTGCCATGACGTGCGGTAGCCTGCCAAGGGCGTTGTGACAGGTTAATTGTTCTCAAGCAGCCCAGTCTGAAGAGAAAAGCAAACTCCCCCAGTGAAGGAAGTTGAAGGATAGGGCACCCCATGAAAACAAAAATCATAGTCTATTTTCCCTTGTGAAGGCAGCACTTCATCTCAAAGCCACAGAATTACACTTGTCAAAGACATACCTGGAGGCAATACCAAATAAAAAAAGCTATTAAAAAAAAAAAAATCACACCAAATTGGAGTGGTTGAACAGTGACCATCTCAGATCATCATCAGAACAGATTGCAAAGGACCATAGAGATTTCATTGCCCAGTCTCACCATATGATTACTTATTCAGCTATTTTCCACCATTAGCGAGTTCTCTTCGAGGAACACTGAACACGATCGGCGTCATTCTCCTCCAATGATTTATTGAAAAGGATTTTAGCGGTTGCAACTTGACGTGAGGTTTGATGCCGTGCGGCCGCGACGTGGCATAATGGATTTTCATCACACCGGTTGTTCCGGCAGGCTACTCTGCCCCACCACTGCCGCCGCCGTGCTCTCTACTCCAAAGACAAACCGCAGGCCCTCAACTTCCTGCTTGCTGCGGCTGAAGTGTCTTTACATCTTTTGTGTGCCGGTGAAGTGTTGCA